TAAATTGTGAAACTGGGTGTTTTTGTGATGTAGACATGCTTGTCCATAACACTTTTTTCCAGAAGATGCATGGCATCAGAGCATGTTTTCCTTCCTGGACTCATTCATCTCAGGTTTGCTCAAGGCTGCTTTTCCAGGCAGTGCAGGGCTTAGCAATCAGACTCTGCTTCTCAGACTGAGCACACAGACACAGAGACACACACACACATGCATACCTATACACAAGCATCAGGTTCAAAACATGCATCATAGCAAAGCCCATCCATCCAAATCCTTCAGATTGAAGCATTCTTGTGTGCCAGTTCTTCATCTGAGAGGATGATATATATGAGTTCTCACATTGTGTTCAAATAAAGTACAGCCTTGAAACAGGTAAGGTCTAACCAAGTAAGAAGACAGACTATGGAAGGACAGGGAACCCGGGGAGTACTGGTGGGTAGTAGGGCTGTTAAATTTCATGAAGTTGTGTCAACAGAGTCAAGGAAGTCACCTGGAACTAAGTGAGAAGAAAAAGCCCAATCAGCCTCTTTTATCCAACAGCCTAATAAATGAACATTTATGAACACAAGAGTCACAACAATGCAGCGTTCTTAACCAGAATATAAATCCCTCCCTCCCCTGTGATCATAGGCACAACAAGCCCATCTCCCAGTCCTGTGACTTCTATAAAATCCTTATCCAAATGCCAGCAAAGGTGACCTTGTGCCTTTTTAAAGCAGTACTTTATAGTCACTTGACTGCACTTTACCAAAGTCCTTTCCCAGTTTGGCTTTCATCCCCTGCAAATAAATAAACACAACAGGCTGCCTCCACCTTCTCCTCCATCCCTGCAGTGACCAATCGTGATAAGCCATGTCAGACAGACAGGTCCGGGGCTCTCCTGGGCAAGGCAAGGCAAGCCCTGGCATGGGGCATGCCAGCACAGCTGGTAATTGCATGGAAAAGGCAGTGTGCATTTGGGATGGAGAGGGATGCATACTGGTGTATATGGTAGCTGCATCTTATGTCTGGAGGAGTGCTTAAAGGAAATTATGTCTGTTTCCTATTTCCCTTCTCCAAGGAAAGCTCAGTATGAATGCAGCTGCTGGGTGCCCAATCTTATTTTAGATTGTGCTTAAAGCAGGTTCAAATGTTCAAGTGTCAGAACAGATTTGAAGATTTGAGTGGAAGACCTTCTGGATTATTAGCACTTAATTCTCTATGTCTCTACGCTTAGCTTGTGATCTTCCATTACTTCCTAGTATATATAATTAATGGTGCTTTTATTAAGTTTTTTTAACTTCTGTCCTCCCTTAACATGTTTCCTTATTCAAGATAAATTCCAGCACCCAAGCTCTCACCAGAGGGGTGGAAAATTCCTGGAGCCGATACCCTCACCAAGATCTGGGATTGCTCTGCTCAGGGCTTGCATGACATCAGGCTTGTCCTCTTGGCAAGTTTGAGGTTATCTGGAGGGTTAGCTGATACAGTGTCAAAGTGAGTCTGTGTTTTTTCACTCAGCTGGATGAATAGTCTGGTGCCCTTTGAGGGATGCCACGGATTAACTGTGAGTTGGTTGGGTATAAAGGAGTAAAAATACCACAGCCATATGGTGTCCCCGCAGAGTCTGTGGCTGAGAAAAGGGTTTGCACCAGTCACGCTCAGACAAGCTGTCCAGAGATGGGGAAGAAGAGGCAGAGCACACCAAGTGCCACACTTGCAGCCCTGAGCTCCCTCTCTGAGGGCAAATGAAACTATGAGGTTTGTAAGGAAGAAAGAAAAATGAAATGCAGGTGGGAAATGGAGGCACAACTGCCTCCCCCCCGAGGCTATTTACTCTCTTAGAGCCTCCTGAAGAGCAGTAGCATCATTCTGACCTGTAATGTCATGTATCTTCTGTTGTAATGCACTGGAGGGAGTTTCCTAACACAAGCTGCTAACTGGTATGCTTTTGTGTGGGAAGAAAGATGGAGTTTTCTCATGGTGCTAAGATTATGGATGCGATGCTTTCACAAAGCTGGCTCATAAACCATGAGAAAGAAACTTTTTGTACATTTTGTTTTTGCTATGATAATAGCATGTATTGCCAACTCAACTAATTCCCCAGCTAATTTTAGCATGTCATGTTTAAGCTGGTGTCCCTATGTCTTTTGCTATGTTCCATCTACAGATGAGAAATGATCCCTCAGTGCATAAAGTCATCAGTTTTGTTTTTCCTTTTCAGTCAAAATCCTCTGTTGTGAAATGGAGTTCTGCATAACTTTTGCTAGCTCATAATAAGAAGAGTAATTACAATATAATTCTTAACATATTTCCTGCTATGGTTTTTCTAGCTGAACAGAGTCATAGCTTCCTTATCTGTTTTAGATCAGAAACTTGTTGACTGTAAGTGTCATCAGGGATAAGCTCTGTTCTAATTTCTAATGGTAATTAAGAACTCAGTTTCATCCAGTTTAAAACTCTCTGTCTATAAAATACTGAAACAGCACCTCTCTTACAATATGCCTGAGTTATTTGCCCTACCATTCTTAGCCTAGACCTTAGTTAGATGCTTTCCATCTACAGTACTGTGCAGTTAAGCCCATTTTAGAGAGGGCAAACTGAGGCAGAGAGGCATGAGCACATTGTTTTCAGTCTTTTCTCATTCAGCTGTCCATTAGGCCAGGCTGCTGATTGCAGGGCAGTGGATGCTTGTGATCTTTTTGTGTAGGAAGACATGAAGTTGTGCCATCTGCCAGTGAGCAGTTCTTGCTTTGAAGTGGTTGCAATTTAGCAGTTGCCAAAGGACATCCTGTATATAGACATGCAGTCACAATGCGGGTACAGAGTACATACCCCGACAGATTACAGATACTGCATGCAAGGTGAAGCAGTCTAAAGATTTTGGGGCTGAGCTTGAAATAAAGTTCTCTGGAGATGAACTATGAACTATGGTGGCACTTTGGGAAATTGCCAATCTTCTCATTTCCAAAGAAAAGAAGAATCCCAGACTGAGATAATGAAGGACACGGATATCTAAATATGTCACCAGCAGAAGAGAGGTTTCTAAATCCTAGTGTATGAACCTCAAATTTTCCTGTGTAATTATGCACATGCTTACAATCTCATCTGTAATCCCCTCCTTGATTTCTAACATTTTGCCACCATCCTGGGTGCGTCTAAGACATCCAGGTTTCGTTTGCCTAATTTAATTTATAATCCATGATAATGACCTTCTTCTGCCTACTTTGGCAGATTCAGTCATATGTTGCCTAATCCAGCTTCCAAAAAATGCTGCTCCGGCTACCTCCATCCAATAATGTGATTAGTGAACAAGGTTCCAGTGCATGCCTCTTATCACATAGATAACTCAGCTCATAATCCTTTGGTCTTTTAAAAATGAGCTGTGCCTTTCTAATTTGGAAAGGGCTTGCCTTCAGGAGACCAGGTTTCAGTAGTGGATCCCTGCCTAGCTTGTGTGCCTAGGCTCTAAAGGAGTAGGCTTTAAAAAAAAAGCCAACAAAAACTCCAGTGCTAGTTTCCATACTGACTGTATTTAGCTAGCCCTCCTCACTCAACACATGGCTGGCTGAATTATTTTAAACCACCAAACACCCCATTAGTGTGCTGGAGTCCTGGGCAAGTGACTCAACCTGGAGTATTTCTACTCCAGCAACCAGGGCTGTCTAAAAGCCTTCATACATCTTTGAGGCTGTTACTGTCTTAATGGGACCACTCTTCCCAGGGGCATTCTCTTTGAGAAGAAAAATGAAGAGAGAAGGGAGAAGATATTTCTGCCTAAATGACATCTTGCAAAGCATAAGGTATCTGTTTGGGAACAACAGCCCATGTGACAGCCTGCTGTGTGGTGTTCAGGGAGTCAGGGGTTGTTTTCCCTGAAAGCTATGCTTCCAACCTCTCCTCCCACCTCATTGACAGTAACATCAGGATCTACCCGTACTCAACAGTTCTCTTTGGAACAGTGCAAGTGAAGCAAGAGAAAGAGAGTTTTCTTTCCTTATTGCTCTGTTTTGAGGATAGCTTGCAGCTGTGCCTGGCTGGAAGGAATGTACAGATTTCATGGAGGATGGTCGAGAAATATTTCCTTTTTCAACTGCATCGCATCCCTGTTCATACACACAGTGGCTCATAACTGGGAAGTCTTCAATGCCAATTCTTCTGGCAACATACAGTAGGAAAGCAATAGCAATGGAGGCAATGCTTTTTCTTTCCATCTATGGTCAGGTGGGAGATGGACAACACTGCATCACCCTCAGTAAAGGGGTTAATTATGGAGAAAAGTGTGCTAGAGCCTCTCAATGTTAGAAATAGACCAAAACAGAGTAAGTGCTGCAGAGTACAGCATCATTTCAAGTACTGGTGTTGGTGAGATAATACATACTAGAGAGTGTCTATTGAGAGAGAGGAAAGGCATCACTTGTATCTTGAGGGCAGAGCATCTTAGAAATAAATTTAAAGAATAATCTTTCTCTGGGTATTTAATTTCCCTCCTGTTGGAAGTGCTTACCTACAGTTACCTACAATTAAGTCTGTGATGAGAATGCATATGTGTGGGTGTATGTATGTGTATGCACAGCACAAAGGCTATAGTTAATATACAGAACTAAATGCTTCGTTCCAGAGCCCCAGACATACACAGCCTCTCAATACTCATCAATTTCAGTTGGTGTGAGACCTTTCAAAGACCTGGATTCATGCAGCAAATTCTTTGCCACAGGCTTAGGATTAGTGATTTTTTTCTGCTCATGATGCAGTACAAACTTGGAAATCAGCTCTGCATCTATTCATCAGCTGAAGTATGAGCCCCTTTTATTAGTGCCTTTTGTGGCAATAACTGTGATCTATTTAAAGCCTTCAAACTGCAATTCCCCACAGCAGATGTAGTGGAAGCAGATATCCATGGAAATCAGTCAAAATGAGCTCGTGTTGCTGTGCAAAGGGTGGGCTCTGTTCTGCTCAGCAACAGTTACCAAATTCCTGCCACATGGTCTTTGTCTCCTTCTTCAGTGGTTTGGGGCTTGGTGCTATGCTTCCTGGGGAAGTTTTGCTGCCATTTAAAGTCCCTGCTTCATATTCACTCTCTGTCGTTTCTCCCCCTTACAGGGCATTCAAGGAAGAGACACTGTTCTTCTTGTGGCCAAGCTCTGAATCCTCAAAGTTGTCATGGCTAAATCCATGTGGTATGACTACCAACCATGGTCCCCTGTTAATAGCAGCAAACTCATTCTCATTTCAGCAAGTGACCCTGCAACAAGAACTGTGAAGCTGCTTAGGTGGGTAAGTGTTGCAGGAAACCAGGGGGGACCAGCCAGATACTTTTATTTGGGAAACTGTTGAGATGCTTTGATTTGTTTGTGGTGGTTTTTTTGTGTTGTTTGTGGTG